TGACATCACCCTTCCTCATTTTCTTAGCCATCCGCTCCTCGCGCGCAAGCTCCTCCCAGTCATCACCCTCGTCCGGCACCTGATCCCCATGTTCCCCGTGCTCCTGCTTGGCGGGGACCGCAGTCGTCGCCTGCGTCTTCAACCACTTCCTTTTCCTGTTCTTCTGATCTTTCCTCCTCTCCTTCTCCTCCCTCTTCACAACCTTGTCGCTCCACGCTAGGTTCGCCTTCTGCTTTTCCGCGCGCGCTGCCCGCCGCTTTTCTCGTTCAGCATCGAGGATCGTCGCCGCAGCCGCCCCTGCGACGAGCCGTTTGGCCTCTTGTGCTTTGTCGATGTAGGCGAACGAATTCCACTGAAGCCATTGTTAGTACCAGGATAGTAATCCGAAATGGCAAATCTTACGTCCACAGCAGCTTCCTCCCAGTTTCCGCGAGGCATATCGCGTAACTCGGGCATATGCGGGAGCCGAAGGAGCCCGAAACTCTTCGCTACACCGATAAGGTCGAGATCTTTGATACGAAAGATGTACGATGCTTCATGCTTGGAATAAGCCCGCACAAACGATACAAACGCGGTCATTGCCTAAATAACGATTGACACTGACCAAGGGTCCACTGATATCGTGCGGGCTCACCTGATCGTGTATTGCTCGATCCGTAAAAACCGTTTTTCGTATACGGTTGAGAAAGACTGAGACTTCGGGGTCATCCGGGCGAGCAGGTTCTTCTTCACTCTCGAGGACCTCGTCTTTGGCAGACGGCGCGACAACACTTATGGCCTGGTCCCCCGCTGCAGCAAAATACGGCTGCTCAGAAATCGGGATTTTTCGGATAGCTAGGAACTCTAGAAGATGATAAATAAATTTGTTGAGAGAAACGGGGAGTTTGATCGACGCACCGACGTAAGAAGTCTCCCGCCCAACAAGCAACACCCATGCCCTCCCGCTACGACCCGCTCTGGCTGTACGTCCACAACGGTGAGAGAAAGCTTTAGGGTCCGAAGGAGGGTCGAACTGGATGACGGTGTTCACTGAAGGGAGATCGAGTCCTCGTGCAGCGACGTCGGTGGCAAGGAGAATGGCGGGAGAAGCAGCTGTGGCTGGGGAGTCCGCAAAGGCTGAGAGAGTCCGTGTTCGCGCAGATGGAGGAAGATGGCCATGTAGAGAAAATAGAGATGTATTCGGCGGTAAAAGGTCTTGTAGGATCTGAAAAATGGTCTGGAAAGATGCGAGAGGTGCGAGGAAGAGACATACACGATAGAAATAGTCTACGCAAGCACCGGTAGCAAAATAAACGATAAATCGGGATGAATTGTGTTCTGATATTTCGGAAGATATTATCCGGGTCAGCTGGACTAGCTTTTCCGAGGCGTGGCAAACGACGTAGTGGATTTTCAGGCTGGCGCAAAAATAGTCAGAGTAACGCGCTTGCGGATGTGTCTTGTACTCACTTGGCGGGTATCCGCCGTTCCTCCACAGTCTCCCGAACCAGCGTGCCTGCCCCTCCGCCGGATTTCACCTTCTTTGCCTGCACCTTAACGACGATGCGCGCAGGATTCCGCAAGCCCACGCGCACAAGTTCAGAAATCGCGTCGGCATCCGTCATAGTCGCACTGAACAGTCCTGTACGCCGTTGCTTCGGTAGATGTGTGATAATGCGCGTCACCGCTGCTTGAAACCCCAAGTCAAGCAACCTAATTGACATTCATAACTGCGAAGAGAATGAGAGCGAGTCGCGCACCTATCCGCCTCATCGAGGACTAAAACCTCCAGTTCCTTGACGTTTACTATCGTTTTGCCCTTTCCCAGTAGGAACTCCTCGACACGGCCTGGGGTGCCTATCACAATATCGGCTCCGGTTAACGTGAATCGCTGCACGTCCTGCGCGGGCGATGATTTGTTGGAGGAAATGAGCAGCAAGGGATCGGGATATTCTGGATCAGGCGGGTCCGTGACATCCACAGGCTCAGTTCTGGGCTGCGCAGAGAGAAACAGGGAGAAGATAGAGTGTATTTGGGTAGCGAGTTCTCTGAGCTATACTCAGTCGGGAGACGCCTTGACGATGAACGAGACATACCGCGTCGGGCTGATAATTAACGCTCCGAGCTCATGTTTCCGTAGCTTCCGTTCTCGGCGTATGAGGCGTTCTAGTATAGGAATGACGAAGGCGAGAGTCTTCCCGGAGCCCGTTACTGCTTCCACGACGACGTCCTTGTTTTGCATGAACAACGGAATAGTTGAAGCTTGGACCGGGGTCATTTGGGTGTGTCCCATAGATTGAATGACATCGAGGCTATGAAGCAAGGTAAGGGGGGTTTAATGGTGGAGAATATGGCCAGTTACATCCATGGCGTGAGCGAGGTCGGCAAGGTAGACCAGGAGCCGCCGAACGCGTTCATGACCGGAGCCATGATTTTTGTGCTTGTTTGGATATCTCGCTGTTGCCAATCTCCTCCTGAATCCATAAGCAGTAATTCAAGAAGGTCATTACAAAAACTCTCCCATATCTCGTGTTTTATTTCCAAATGAATCACAAATCGGTGCATGGGAAGAGTACACAGAATATGAGAGCATAATAATCGAGGAGAGTATATCAAGATGGAGAGAGCTGCTCCCCCGTATCGCCCGATTGCCGATCCTATCCATGATACCCTCTGAAACCTGAACATCCATCCGGAGACCTTGCAGAAAGGATGAAAGAACAGCGAGTGCGCTGCGCTGCTCTCAGAGCCTACGCTACTCCCCCCAGAGCCTGCGCTCACTGTCTAGATCTTGCCCGGTCCACGAGAAGGAGCCGGGCCGCCCCATCAGTAGCGTTACTGGGTGCGTGGCTTGCGCCACTGCTCGCGTGGCGAATTACCAAGATACAAGTATCCAAACCCTTCAGACATGATCAAAAACACAGCGTAATTCTGCGCTCCCCGTCTTGTTGTGCAAAGAAAAGCCTAGCAGGCCTACTAGGCCCTCGGCTTGTAGTTATTCCACTGTGAACTGTCCATCTCAAAATCGCGCAAGAGCTTCAACGACATAAGTCCAAATGAAAAGTGTTATGTGGCACATTATGGCATACCTCCGCCGCAAAGTCCCCGGAGAGCTCCTCGACAAGTGCGTTTGGATTCTTCTCGAACCTCGAATGCAAATCGCACACGCGCTCGATCTCGTCTTTGACGCGAACGGCGGTGTTGTAGAGGTAGTGGCGCGCTTGATGGCTATCGTACATGTAACTCTATCAGCGCCGAATTTTGGGCCGGGGAAATCAGACTCGACGAACTAGGCAACTGCACGGCGGGTACACCGCGCCCCGATGATGAGCCTGAAACCGGGCGGGTACAGCACTTGGTCCGCCTCGGCGCCGTTCTCAAAGTTGGGTATCGTCTCTTTGCCGTACTCCTGATAACGTTCGAGTATATCCTTGACACCGGAAAATTGAGAATCGACGGATACGAACACAAAAATGATCCTTACCTCGAAGGTGTCAGGGTTATAGTACCCCTTGCGCGTTGAAAGCGAGTAGAAGCCGGCATGACTACAGGATGACGAGCCACGCGCCCAGCAGGCCTGGCACTCCACGCCCTGGCATAAGACCGGGCCCATAAGGACGGGGCGCTTCTCCAAGGTGTATTTGAACGGCCCTGACCACGTGGAGATTAACATGCTATCCGCAAGCGCCTCGGTGCGCATCCGCAGCGCGTTTAATGTCGCCTCGTAAGACATTCCTGGATGAGGGAACGAGAATCAGCCACAAGGTCGACGGCGGATGCGCGCGCTCACTGTCCATCTCAGTCAACGTGTCCGAGGATAGCAAATCGGGGACACAATGGAGCCCGACAACATATTCGATGAATACCGCGAAGTGCTCGCGGGGGCTACGGCGGGCAAATCTCTCTGGGCCAATAACGTCTTCGACTTCTTGCGCTGCATCGGCCGTCTCGTCTGCATCGTCGATGAAGCTCCCGCCTGTTGTTTCCGATTCAACGTCGGTGCCCGAGGTGATCTCGAGCGCATCGCTGTCTTCCGCTTCCGAAGAACTTGAGGAAGGCTGAATGACGGTCTTCCGGACAGCGGACGGTGAAGCTTTGTGCGTTCGTGCAATCTTGTACTCCTCGAACACCTTCATCTTGAGTTCCTTCGCAGTCGGCTTTGAATGACTCGGCGGGGGAGAAACTATGCGCAGCGTGAACATTACAAAAGGAGAGACTCGGAGGCAACCTACGCGCGAGATCATTCGAATCTGCTGTCGACTCGACTTCGTCACCTGCCTGCTCGTCGTCAGAGTCTGACTTGCGACACAAACGCCTTCGCGGTACAGGAGAGCCTGAGTCTGACTCTCGTTCCGTATTAATGTCTGGACGTCGTGCAACTCGCCGCGTCGGAGTCCTAAGGTTCTCATTCTCCTCGTCCAGGGCGATATCTTCAGCTGCCTCGGAATCAGACACTGGAGCCCGAGACCGCCGTCTCACACGAGGCGAGACAAAGGAGTCACCCTCATCCTTAACTTCCTGGATCACGATGGGGGGCGGTGATCTCGGTTCATGCTTCACGATGCGCTGCTTCACAGGCCTAACATGGTTGGTGGTTGGCTCCGGCTCAGATTTAATGTTGATACCCCTAGCGTCGTCGAGCAGCTCATCGTCTGACTCCACCTTGACAGGGCGGCGTTCCCTTGTGTTCGTCGATGGGCCTGCATTCTGTCGCCGTTTCGAGAGAGTGAGAGTGGGATGCGGCGGCACTAGTACATACATTGAAGGCGTGCTTTGAACCTCACGGTCCAGACGATGACCGCGAGTATTCGCAGAGGACCCTTCACTGTCAATCCGCTTGCGTTTGGGGGCCATGAGCTCAGACAGTAACTTGAGTTGACAGAGGAAGGTTGCACCGTCGCAGGAAAGTAAGGAGGCGTCTTGGAGGCGTCCCTGAACGATGCCGATCATCGAGATTCAAGCTCATAAGACGTCTTCGTCGTTTCGTCGCACCTGAGCCTTCGTAAAGACTGATTTGCATCTCCCTCTTAGCTCAGTTGGTAGAGCGCGTCACTAGTACGGTCTGTACGTAATGACGAGGTCAGTCGTTCAAATCGGCTAGCGGGAATTCGTTTTGTCTTTCTCTCCTTTTTATGTTTTTGGTCTGCCCACATAACTTCTGGAACCCGCCCCGTCGCCCGATCTTTCCCAATGTTCAAACGTTTACTCCGTTGTCTGGGTGGTGCGCGCAGAACTCGCCTTTCGATTCCTCGACGCCTACTCGGCGCTTTACTTATGAACTGTCATCAATCTGTCCTGACTTGCGTTGCCGACTTGGCTTCGTTGATGACATGACGGGGTGCCAGTGGGACTCACGCCTGACTCTGCTGCAGTAGCCAAAAGCGCGCACTGCGAAGCGATGCTGGTGGATCGCTTTCCCACTCCAACTCAAATATTCAAAGGCACTGGACGATGATGATTCACGTTGACTGGGAAACGGCTACTATTGTGCTGAATTATGGGCATTGAACACCCCGACATAGGCAAACCTCAACTTTTCAATCCTATCCTTGGCGCCAAGGAATGGAGGTAGGTAGGTAGGTATATCCCGGCGGGACGCCTCAGCGCTAAATGTCAAAATGAACCAGCCGGAACTCCAAGGCTCGAGGTGATCAGCACTTTTTTGTCTCTGGCTTTTCTCTGGCGGAGCACTCCGAGTCCGAACTTTGTCGATAATCTGGATATGATCTTCCCGAGTTCCGCTATTAACAATATCATTCTTATGATCTTATCAGAGTTTTGGTCCACCTTCAAGGACTCACTACTGTTACAAATTACAGGATCGGGTTCTAGCAATCTATGTTGCTTTTGTGATGTCTCTACTGAGTTCGCGACACTCACTACAAATTTGTGGCTCAATATTTCACAGGACCTTATGTAAACGCAGTCTAAGCGACAAGTCTACCTTCAATCGAACGAAAGACTGTTTGGACGAGCGCCCCTCCTTCTGCGTATCACCAGCAACCCAAGTCTATTAAATTTCTTGCTTAGCACTGCATCTAGGATTTATTGGCCCGAAATTCATTGAGATTCGCATCTGCCAAGCAAAACGTCGAGAACAACTTTGGAAGACATGCTCTTAAGACTCAAATGCTCCGCGTTGCAAGGTCCAGGGATGCTTCGTGCCCACAGCGCTCCTATAGGATGTAAAGCTAGCGTCAAAAACACAATGTCTCCAAATTTCAAATTTGATCGAAGTACGTCTCAAGAACATATCAGTATCTCGAAAAGAAATGCTGAGATTCAACCCGCGAGTCAGACTCGAGCAGCTCGGACAGGGCCTCGGTGTGGAATCTGTTGTCGCACAGGTAAAGTGACCTGTTGTGAAGATGAGAGCGCGCACCGCGATCGGGAACGACGACAGACGTATCAATTGGCTTGTGTGGTTCAAAGTCAACGGTTACTTTTTTCTCCTTTCCTTCGTCGGTTATCATCGTGCCGACGAAGATAACGAGGCCGTTGGGAGGGACTTGGTTGTACAATTTCAGGCGCTGCTGAGCCTGGGTTATTGCACCCAACACCATAGGCCGACTTTCGCGCGTTCTGATGTTGGACTTTGTGATGTAGTCCTGGGCCAACATGGCTGAAGCTCCAGAGATTTCATCCTAGTCGCAATGCCCGTGGTTCCAGGCCAGCGAAACTCGTGAGACACCGCAAACTCACCTGAGGGGATAGGATTAGACTGATCATGGAATTACGCGAGCTAGAAAATAAAATAAAATCGATAACATAATAATATGAGACAGGAATACATGCTGCATACCCTCTCGCAGATTCAAGACTTTTGATCAGCTGAACATTGTGCTCGGCAGCATCGGGTTGGCTCATAGCCATCGCGTAGGCTCTGCTCGACCGTCGAGTAGACGCAGCAAAGAAAGACTGGACGAAGGTGAAGATGAATCGCTTTCAACGCCTCTGGACGTGCTTTAATATCTTTTCGGTAAGCTTGACTCTTGCTTGACTGTCGTGAGTCCCGCGCGCTGTCAGGGTGTCTTGAGTCGATGTTTCTGCGGAACCGCGCGGGTGGCACCGCCGCCCATCCGGATCCGTTTTCGCCATCACTCCCCTCTCAGCATAATCTCGTATGCATCACTCGCAATACTCCACCTCTGAGCGTATACTTGGCCTGCGGCGCTGTAAAACTGGAATAAGAAACGACCCGGGCAATTCGGGTATCAAATGGCCGCTCAAATGATCGACATGCCAAGGCAGCAGTGGTCGATTGAAGTTGAACACTTCGCTGAGCCATTCAGCCACTGGGAACAGTGAGGTGGAATTGGCGTGAACGCGAAGATAAGTCGTCCGGGGCCTGATGCCGTATAAATTGATTTTCAACTTGAACCGTTCATTAAGTTGAACGCAAGTTGAACCAACGATGAACTACCGATGTTCGAATCCTCACCTGAGAGTTGTGGGTCCTATAATGTGAGTGCTGGCATTCCAGACTCAAGGTGCAACAAAATGTCCTGTCGCCTTTCACTTTGATAATCAATAACCGCGCTGCGGTTCCGCTTATGGCGCCTCCCCGTCCTCACGGCATTCCGAGATGAAGTATGTGAGCTTGCCACACTCATCCGGGTCCCCGGTGCCCCGAATATCTCGACCTGTTCGTTACGCGAAATTTGAGCCTGCACAAAATTGACGTTGGTATATCCTGATCAAGGAGACGACCCTAGCTTTTCAAGGAGCATACTGTAGCTTTCCTTCTTCCGACAATCCACCTCGAGGAAACCTCCCGGTGCAAGCGATGAACGTTCGAAAAGGTTTTCGGACCCCAGACGGTGGCGACCTTTCATTAATTGCGCAAGCCTCTATCAGACGGCACGCAGCAAGATCAAGTTTAAATAAGTGATACTTGCAGTGCTACCGCCGACTCGGGGTCGATTATTCCCTGGAGTAAAAAAGATCAACTATCTCCGTGGTCCAAGCTTCAAATAAATCACCCCGGAATACGGCGATGATCATGAGCAGACACGGTGCGTCGGGATCCCACGCGAGAGTTTACGACCGAATCGAGAGCGGGTGTTCTTGGGGGCCAGAAGCGCCTCGATGCGCGATGAAGAATAGAATTTGCAGTACATAACGGCAGCCTCGAGGAATCAAGATGAACAGACGTGCGTCGGGATCCCACGACGAGCAACGTTCGACGCCTATCTCGTATCTCTTCGTGCAGTGGGTCCCCCCGAAGCGTCGCAGACCTTATCGGACTTTTTTGATTTGACGGCGTCCGCCGCGTGCATGCATGCTCGGCGCAAACAGTCGGCTTGAACTCGAATAAGTATGTAAGTTACCTCCGTTGATGATCCCGAGATTCGAAAGATTGACGTGTCCACTGCAGACACTTTCTTTAGTCTTTCTTCAACCGAGATGCAGGACGCCTGTCTTTGATGTGGTGTTTGTTAGCGTATACGCACGGGCACGCCGGCGTGCCCGTCGAGCAGGCACGTTCGCGCGACAATCTCAATCTTCGAGTTGGCGCATGCATGCCAGGCGGTTTGTGGGTCCAGATAGATCCTCGCCGCTCGACCGGCGACCCAGTGGCTGGCTTTGAAGTTTTCGTCACAGTTCCGCCGAGTCTCGGACGAACGTTAACGTTCGCGCGGCGCCGTGAGGGTGGAGGGTACATATAGCTGCCGAGCCGCCGCGCTGGCGATTCGAAGATGCGGCGGCCTTCCAAGTTACAAGTTCCCGGGCCAATTATCATTATTTTGCCAGTGATTGAGAAAACGACACCGCTTTTGGCGATTTTTTTTGGTACTTATCGCGGTGAGCGTCTGCACTCGTGTGTTGTGTGGGCAGCAATCGACGAGGATGAGTATGATTGCGGGCATCGCCGAGGACGCGACGCGCGTTCCGAGCCTTCGTCGACGCCGCACACGATGATAAGTAAGTATTTGATGGAGCAGTTCTGTTCAACTCTCATCAATCCGACGATCATCATACGAATTTGCTTCCGTCTCCGCTCTTGGCTGCGATGGAATTGGACGGAATCCGAATTTGATTTGATTTGATCTTACTTGTTGGTTCGATGGTTGGGGGAGGTGCATATGTATCAAAGCACGCCATGGCTGGGCGGTGGGCGGTGGGCGCGGCGTCACGGTGGCCATATGCATGAAACGAGCTTGGGGGCGGGCGATTCGGGGGCGGGTCTTGTAATATCACATACGACTGACCCCTCCCGCCTCTGAATCCCCGTCCTCCTCCTCCACACCATGAAAAAAAAAACTTTCCGCCCTCGAATGATTATTTTCATACACACTACATAATGATAATATCAAGCACGCCATCCTCTAATCCTAATCGCATATACATACATGCAGGATAGATACACAGATAAGTAGCCGCCGGCAGATAAGGACGCCACGTCAACCGTAACGCCTACCAGTGCCACTGCGCCAAGACGCCTACTTACGCCTACGCCACGCCACGCCACGATGGTGGCTGAAGGCCGAGCGCTGATTATTTTGTTGCCGGGGGTAAACTGGGGGAGGGTAATGTGCGGCACGGTGCACGGTGCCGGTGCCGGATGGGGGAGGGGAGGGAGCGGGGGGAAGTGATTGGGGGAGGGAAGGGAGGAATAAGGGAGGGCACGCCCGCCGTGCCTGCCCGGGGCGTACCAGGTGCTGAGCTTACCCTGCATAGCAGAATTAAAGGAAACACCGATCCAGAGGTACTATTCCCGAAGAGATGTGGACGTTGGACAGGTGCCGTCGTCGATCGGGATGACGAGCTATCGCGCTCTGAACGCGGAGAGTGGAAAGAATCCAAGTAGAGACGGGTTGCCGGCATGATGATGCCTTCGGGATCCAGAGCGTATAAGTTTAACTTGGACGCAGAGAATAGACAGCAGGGATGGATGGATGGCGCGCGGGATCGATAGATAGATAAGGACGGATATAGAGACGATTTCGCGTTCGCCGGGGAGATCGCGTTTAGAACACGGAGACCAGAGTAAGATAGACTCTCAGAACAGAACAGACAACAGAACAGAAGAAGAGAACGAGCGAGGCAGTGCATCCGGAATACGGGATGCAGATAGTGAGTGGGATGCCGTGAAGTGGTGGGAAGGGTGTTAATTTCCGTCTGCGAGTCCGAGGAAGCTATACACCTAGGCCCCGGTGGTACTCATCGTCGATGTGAGAGTGGGACCGATTGGCGTCATTGATGAGGGATTGTGGGTAGGTAAGCAGGTTAATTCCAACGCGGTCGCGTTAAGAAATAGATTGCAGAAGACGCACGTTTGCGGGCGGGAGCGGATGGGCATGGGCGGGAGGAAGGGATTTCCATGCGGCGGTATGTACCGTAAAGTAGACGGCAACCAGGCACACGACCGCGTAAGCGACGGTATGAGCAAGACGGGCCGTCGGGGAGGATTTACGCGTCTCGAAGGCGGATTACATACAGACGGGGCGCACGTTTGCTGATTGCTTTGTGGGGCCACGGAAAGAGGTTGTTGTTGATCAAGGGAGTGATGCGAATGAAAGATGATGTGCGCGGAAGTTGCCGGACGAGGAGAGGACAATACGTGCTCCAGGGAGGGTATGTACGAGACGGCAGAAAGAGTAGAGAGGATAAAGTTGGTTGGTTGTTTTTCAAGATGCCGAGATAAAAGCTTGGCAAGGGACACCCGACACCGTGTATTTGATTTGAGTGAAAGAGAAAGTGAATTGCATTCAGACTGCAACAACGACTATGTCGACGCTCGCCGTCCCACCGAGCATCCTCCTTCCCTCCCAGCCATCAACAAACAGTCTGTCTTCCTCCTCCTCGAGCAACTCCAGCGACGCCTCGGGTTCGTCCGCGTCCTCCCATACAAGCGCAGACACACCCACCATGGACAAACCCTTGCCGTCCTCCCGCCGCATCCGCTTCGCCCCGCTCCCAGACCCGAGACGCTCCGTCCTCGACAGCGACGAGCTCCCCCTGCCACAGGAACTCCTCGTCAGCCCCGACCTAAAAAAATTTGCAGCCCCGCCGTCCCCCGCCCCGCCACCCAGCACCCCCCTGCCCGACCAAAGCTCCGCTCTCCCGCCCCCCTCCGCCTTCCATACCCCCGGAAAGAGCGCAACCTGGCCCAAACCACGCAGCCTGCTCCGCCCCTTCCGCCGCGGCCCGGGCACCCCCGCAGCAAGCACCGACAGCCTCACCCCCACCCCCAGTCTCGACGAGCCCACCCAGCTCGGCGCCCAGCTCCAGCGCTGGTCCTCCTCCGCCTCCGCCACCGCCGCAGCCAACTCCTCCGGGAGCCCCCTCGCCCGCACCCAGAGCCAGGGCAGCGTCCTCGGCGCCTCTACCAAACGCCGCGGCCGCGCCCTCCTCCCAAGCTTCAGCAAGGACAAGGACAAGGACAGAGACCGGGAGGGCAGCAAGAGCACGAGTGCCTCGCCCGTCCCCAGCAAGAACAACCCCTTTGCCAACTCGCTTGGCAGCAAGCGCGGCACGCGGATGCTTAACGGAAGGGTCTATGGCTCACGGAATAATGGTGCGTTTTTTTTTCACTCATTCGTAATTTATGTACTGACCACCCACGCAGGCAACCTCTTCGCGACCGCGCGCGACGAGGACCCCGAGTTCGTCGAGTGGGGCTACGGCGGGATGGGCAGCGTCAAGAACGGCCACGCCGCGTGGAAGGGCGTGCAGGGCGGCGCGTCGGCGACGACGCCCAAACCCAACGGCAACGGCAACGGCAACGGGCACGTGGGCATGGGCGTCGTGTCCGCAGGCGCGGACGACGACGACGACGACGGGAGCGGGATGGGGTGGGTGCGCCGGCGGCGGGAGGCGCGGGAGCGGGAGCGCGTGGAGAAGGAGCAGCGGGAGGCGCAGGAGCGGGAGGAGAATGGCGCCGAGGATACGGAAAAGGAGAAGGAGAAGGAGAAAGAGGGCGACGCCGAGGGCAGCGCGAGCGACGCGAGCACGCCGACGCCGACGCACAACGAGGGCGCGTCGCCGGTGCCTGCGCCTGCCGCGTCCACGTCCACGTCCCCGCACGCCTCCCCGCTCGGCACGCCGAACCTCCCCTCCGCGCTCTCCCCGTACGCCTCGCCGCTGCACTCCGCGCACGCCTCCCCGCTGGGCACGCCGAACTTGCCGTACGGCTCCCCGCCGGCGTCCGCGTCCGCGGCCCCGGGCGGCGGGGAGGAGGAACACGTGCTGCGGGCGGTGACGGTGCCCGCGCATTTCAGGGCGCACCATCATTCGCATTCACATTCGCACTCGCGGGCGGCGTCGACTGCGGGTGGGGTGGAGGGCGCGCCTGCGCCTTCTGCAGGCGTCGGCGCGAAGACGAAGACGGATGCAGGCGGGTCGGGGAGCGAGTCGGACTCGGGCTCGGGGTCGGATTCGGATGACGACGACGAGGACGGGGAGGAAGAAGCGCGCAGGCGGGCGGCGGAGGCGCATGCGCAGAAGGCCAAGGCCGACGAGGAGGATGAGGAGGACGACGACGACGACGATGAGGACGAGGAGGAGGAGGCGGAGCAGCGGCGGGTGACGGCGCTCGGGGCGGGCGTGGAGAAGATCAGCCGGCACAAGGAGTGAGTCCGTGGGGTTGGGTGGGCGCGCGGTGTGGGGGCCGCCCGACTCTGCCCGCCGACTCCGCCCAACCCGCCCGTCTTGTGCCTTGTGTTTCTTTCGTCTCGCCTCCGTCCCCCCGCTTTCCGCTGTCGATGATTCCCCGCGCCGTCCGCCCCCAGCGCACATCCCATCCCATCCCATCCTATCCGATATATATACGCTACCGTGCTAGAACAAACCCGCCCGCCCCGCGCCGAGTCCGATGCCGAACGGACGGGCGACGCCTTTCTGATCGGCGGCGCCGGCTCCGTCCGCATCCGGGGAGCGGGTGGAGGTGGCGCTCCACCCGCTCCGCGCGTAGCATACATGCGTGCCGACACCAACGCCGACGCCGACACCGATACCACGTACCGTACCGTGCCGCCATACCACGGCCCCGGCCACGGCCCACGGCCCCCGACCATCCGTCCCCCCCGGCGGCGGGCGGAGGCCCCCACACCCACACCCAAGAGTAGTGTATTTTTGTTTTAGTCTTGTGAGTGTCTCCCCCTCTAACAACACACCCGAACACCCATCGCTAACTCCCCCACAGCCCCTACCCAACCCACCACCCTACAAATCTATCCATATCCACATTTTATTACTATCAACGGGTCTTACGCTGCGCCGGTGGTTCCTCTGTATGTACACTATCACTACTTGATTCCCCCTTCCTCCTATTCGTCCTCGTTCTCTGGTTACCGTATCATCATCATTACACATCCCGTACTCCAGCCATCCATCCCATCCCATCCTATTCTACTCTATCCCACCCTACCCTACCGTACATCGTCAATCGCGTCTCCACGTACATATATCCAATTCATGATTCCGCAAGCACCCCCAAGTTATATCACTCTTCCTCGTTTTCTTCGTGTATATACGACATACTGCTACAACTGCATATATTTGCTGAACGTGCGGGTTTGGTGACCGCAGAAGAGAGTACGAGTTCGGAGCGCTTTGTTTTGCAAAAAGGATCAGATTGAGAAAATAGTGAAGCTCCCTTACGAAAATCCAGAAAGGCAAAAACGAATTCCCGCTAGCCGATTTGAACGACTGACCTCGTCATGAGCATTTGGATTGTGGTGGGATACTAGTGACGCGCTCTACCAACTGAGCTAAGAGGGAATTGAAGGCATCGCTCATGATATCATATATCATGAGACCAAAGGAAGGATAGATGTTTGAAGGATATGCGGCAGTGCATATGCCACACGACCTTGACCCTGACTCGCTAGGCGGGCGCTTGACCAGTGGCGAAACAGAACCTTGTTCAGACTATGCACCATGGGCCGATTCCAAAGTACAGAGGGGTGAAACTCTACGAAACTCCTGGCAATTCAGAGACGGAGGCTCAGCATGTTCACACCGTCAATCACCTCGGACTTGCCTCGGACTTCATCGAATATCTCGTTGAGCTTGGGACTGGTTTCCCTGCACGACAATCCGTTATTATCCCTCCGCAATACACTCAGGAATGGGAGAGAATTGGAGACATGGGCGTGCTTCTACTACAGCGCTGACAGCAGCTCTTCTGGCCCGATCTGCCGGCGCACAATGCTTAAAAACTCGTCCCACGTCTCGCGATAAAGTTCGGTATTGCGCTCACTCTGCATCAGCTTGCTCGGTCTGTGAATAACGTCAGCGACTCAGCAAGGCTCGCGACGAGTGCCTACCCGAAGTATTCATCGTTTCGCCAGAACTTGCCCGTGCTCTCGGGGCCCAAGTCCGTGGCGCTAACCAGGGTGCGAGCTCCCTGCTCGGCGCTCCGGCCCAAGAGGAAGTATTGGATAGCCATGAAGATCCTGACGGCCAGCGGCAGGTTGCGATTCAGGCGGGTTTTGCAGAGGCCGGAGCAGGTGACGTTGAGGACCACCTGTTTTCCCGCCTCGTCCTTCCTGACGCGCTCGAGCACTCCTTGCAGGACGTACCAGGTCGCGAGCTTGATGAGGAAGTACTGTTTGATGTTGTCCCACTTTGCAGCGTCGTCGCATCGCTGGATGAGGGACTGGCCGGGCGGGAGCCAGTTGTCTTGGACCTCCCAGGCGGCAACGCTAAGGAGGACGGACATGTGGGGGGTGAAGTTGGGCTGCGCGGCGGCGGTCTCGCGCAATTTCGGCAGCAGGAGAAGGGCCATGAGGCCCGTCGAGAGGACGTTTACCTGAAGCGACATCTCGTAGCCGTCGGGACTCTTCTCGTAGTCCCAGTTCATGATACCGGCGACAAGCTGCACGACGTGCAGCTCAGGAACACGCGCCTTGACGCGGTCGACGAACGCCTTGACGGACGCCAAGGTAGAGAGGTCGACCGTCTCGATGATGAAGATGTCGGGGGAGCAGTGCGTCCTCTCGATGATGTCCGCCTTGGCCTCCTCGCCCTTCTCATTGGTGCGGACGCCGAGGATGAGGGTCGACGCGCCTAGGGCTGCGTACTTGACTGTGGCCTCGTGGCCTAGGCCGGAGTTGGCCCCGGTGACCAAGACGGTCTTGCCTTTGAAAGAGAGGTGCGTTGGATCGGCGGGAGGGTGCCATTTGCCCCACCACATGGCGCTGAAGGAAGTCATTGGAAAGGTGCGGCTTTGCGGGGTTATTGGGTGTTACGAGCAGAACGCTAGGGCGGACGAATTTGAAAATCGACCTCGACATAGTAACAGACGTTACAATAATTGAAGGCTCGTAGCACCTTCGGCGCCGTTACGTCAGGACCTCTTAGGTAAGTACCTTTTCTTGTAGTAAAGAGGTATGGTAGTAAATTTGGCAACTCCTTCATATAAGTATTTCGCGTCGGGCGTTTTGTGCACTTTGGTTGGGTACTAACAGGCTTCCATGTCAATGTGCTCAATACGCCGCGTTGTCGCGTGGTCAAAAGCGGTGCCTCGGATCACCCGCTAAAGTCGCGTGGAAAGCAAAGTCACGCTCTTGTCAACCCTTCAAATATTGCTCCATCATAATCGAGTCCATGCCCCAGAACAAGCGAAAGCGTACAGCGGATCCAGAGCTAGCATCACCACCACCGCTAAAGAAGAGAGCGCGTCGCGTGGCTAAAAGGACTGAACCCATCGCGCAGGAATCCGACCTGAGCGATGTCGGCGTCAAGCGCAAAACGCGGCGGGTGGCAAAAGCACTCGCAGACTCCGATGGGGATGATAGCAGCAGAAAACCAACACCAAAGAAGGCGCGGCGCCATAAATCACCACCCCCGGTGGCATCACAGGACTCTGACGCGTCCGACTCGGTGGTGTCGCCGCGAAAACGGAGTAACCGACGCAAAATTGAGATTTCGTCGGATTCCGACGATCACGACAGCGGTGGTGGTGTCCGAAAACGCTTGCGACTCGTCAAGGTGTCTCCTGTGGACGCGGAGAGCGACTCTGCGTTGAATTCTCCTCGGAAAGGGAGGCTGCGCCGCAAGTCAGACTCCGAGGAGGAGGTGGAGGACCCCAAGGAGACTGCAAAAGGTGTTCTCGTTCTAGACTCCGATGACGATCCAGAAGATCTTGCGCGTGCGTGTTTCCCCTCTTCTCGATGCCTTGGTTTCACAGTTTTCCATCTAGTTCCCGTTCAACCGACCTCCTCCAAGCCGACTAGGAAACAAATCAGGTCGAGCGCGCTCGAGCGATACGCGAAAGCTCGGAAGAACAAGTCTTCGCCTGCGCCCGTCCCGGCGGACGCTGCTCAGGAGGACGAAGAGGCCGGTCTATGGAGGGAATTCACCCCTTTTGAAGAAGTGGACGAGGAGGAAGAGGGGGATGGCGGAGAAGAGTTGGAGTTGGATAACCAGGAGGAGAATTTCATCGTTGAACCGGGGGAAGGAGATGACGACGCTGACGCTGACGCAGCCCTCGATCTCATGCGTTACTCTAACCGCGAACTTGACGAGCATTTTGCGGTGTTCGTTGAGTATATCATCGCGTTGCATTCTGATTCCGAATACTTGACTACGGCCACGGAGGTTGAAAGTAAGTCTATATCCCGCCCATCGTTCCCATACTCATCGTCCGATTTCAGAGCAGTATTTTGACACGGCGGTCACAGCTTTGAAGCGACACATCGACCCCCTCGCCGACTCCATGACTCTCTCGACGTGGAAAGCGCCTTTTATCGCGACTTTGAATCTGCGACCTCATCTCGCAGACGGAGTTTCTTGCGACGGCAACGACGACTGCCATGCTTGCTGGACCCGAGGCATGTACTCGTGCGATGTCAACGGCTCTTACGAGCTATCCACGCAAAAGGGCATCTACGACCACACAACGTTCCAGGTGATTTTCGCTGTCTCCGCATGAACGGCTGTGCTCAGGCAGGCTTAGGACTTGCCAGAGAAGAAAATCAAATATGGAAAGGCTACATCGTTCGAAAATAACGCAGAGGCGCGCAATCTACCGTACCCGCCCCGCTTCAAGCTCATCATTGGTGCCCGGTGTTTCAACCGAGCGCTGGCCTAGTTTGTTGCACCGCTCTCATACATTGGCAGACAACTTACGAGCGCGAAACAGCCACGATGCACGACACTACATGTATGGCGTCTCCGTCCGAGTCAAGGAGAAGATTGAACGCTTGTGCGAGGACAACACGACGCTCGCGGAAGATCCAAATGCTCTTTTTCAAGCCATGAAAGACGAGGACTTTATCACCTACGTGAGTTTTTTTCCCCATGGAGTACCCCTCTAACCGCGGTGAAGCTCTGGGGACGATTCAAGTCCGATAAAAAGGGATGGGCGCACTGGGCTAATAGGAAGGACCAAGACGCACTTACGTAATATACTGGAAATGTCAATGTTGAAAAGTTCTTGGTACGTTTCCTTTTGCCTTTGTCAATGAGACAGGCCTTGAGATGTTTCGCTCGGGCCAGGTTCTTATATGTCGATTGTATTTAAGTAATGCGGGAATCTAACGTCCATGCAGAAGAAGGAATCCACCTAGACCTCCGTGTTGTGATCAACGGTACTTCTCCAACGATCATTACCCAAACGTCGATTATTTCCCTCGGACTCGAAGATGGCAAGATTGAAGCTGAATCCGAAGCACCAATATTAATGGGTATCCACGCAACCGCCTCCTAGGTCTGAACACGTACAAGTGATAGGCTAACTTACAGTCAGCTCGATTCCAGGCTGTGTTCTAGCGGTCAATAAAGGTGGAGATACATATCGTCCTCTGCTCCACTCCGTGGAGGCATTTCTGCACAATGGTCAAGGACCTGATTCGCGACTCTACCGTCGGCCAGCTCCTCAACCATCTCTCTGGAGGGAGGCTGCTTCCCTACGCAGATCAGCGCCCGGGGTATATCATTCCGCCCCAGTTCCTGCCTCCGGCCTCGTCGAGACGGGTGTCCGTCGCTGTCTCCGTGGTGCCAAAGGTTCACGACGAAGCGAAAAACGAGGAGGGAGACTTGCCTGTGTCCAACAAACGGGCGTCGTTCACTGTTATTGCCCTGGACGCCCGACCGCCAAGCCGGATATCCGACGGTGGCCGCCTCTCACCCCATGCGGAGCAGCGACTATCCGTGTACGCCACCCCTTCGCAGTTCGTTGTCCCGGCATCCGAGAGCGAGATTGCGTTTGCGCCCACTGCGGAACCCGCGGCGGTGGAGGATAGCCCCAAGAAGATCAACGAGTCCGTAGACTCGCTTGCAGTGGAAGTGAAGAGGGACTCGATGGCTTTGGATCTTGTCAAGGAGGTGGAAGATGGCGGGCGGATGTCCCCCAGCCAAATTATGGGCTTTTCTGATCTGAACCTCGTTGGATGGGACGGAGAGGACGACCCAGACAACCCGAGGTCTGCATTGAACCTGCTTTGCTTAAATGATCACTGAGACCGCCTTTAGAAATTGGTCCTTTACCAAGCGCGTGTTCGTCTCATCGAGCATCAGCTTCCTGACTTTCAGTGTCTACATTGGTTCTGCGATATACACTGCTTCGATTCCTGGTATTATGCAAGAGTTCAATGTTTCGCTGGTACATGCCACCCTCGGGCTGACACTGTACATCATTGGTGAGTTTTCTAGGCATATGCTGCTCATAGTATCCTCAAGCCTCTTCTTAGGCTACGGAGTCGGACCAATCTTCCTTGCACCGTTGCAAGAGATTCCATCCATTGGCAGAACACCAGTTTATATCTACACTCTTT